AATCCGAGGTCAAGGAGAGGAGGGCAGGCAAGAGTAGTCACGTCAATTCCGGGTCACAACAAGTCAGACAGGATATCACAGAAGAACAGGAACAAGGAGACGCTGACAATAATCCAGCAATCTGGTAGTGTTCAGGCTGGGCTTATATAGGGGAAGTAATGAGTAAGTTAGGTCACATCCTGTGCGCCTCCTTGGCGCGTTTCCGCTTTGCTGGATTGACTTGTCTGCGCATGTGCAGGTTAGCGCGATGACGCGCCCTTGGCACATGCGCAGTTAGCGCGGAACTCTTTCAATATCTATGTATCTCTATCTATGTACTGTATATCTATGTATCTCTATCTATGTATCTCTATCTATGTACTGTATATCTATGTATCTCTATCTATGTATCTCTATCTATGTACTGTATATCTATGTATCTCTATCTATGTATATCTATGTATCTCTATCTATGTATCTCTATGTATCTCTATCTATGTATCTCTATCTATGTATCTCTATCTATGTATCTCTATGTATCTATATGTATCTCTATCTATGTATCTCTATCTATGTATCTCTATCTATGTATCTCTATGTATCTCTATGTATCTCTATCTATGTATATATATATATATATATATATGTATCTCTATCTAAGTATCTCTATATATGTATATATCTATGTATCTCTATCTATGTATATCTGTGTATCTCTATCTATGTACTGTATATCTATGTATCTCTATCTATGTATAGCTATGTATCTCTATCTATGTATCTCTAACTATCTATATCTATGTATCTCTATCTAAGTATCTCTATATATCTCTATCCATGTATATCTATGTATCCCTATCTATGTATCTCTATCTATGTATCCATGTATGAATATATCTGTGTATCTCTATATACTGTATCTCTATCTATATATAGTGCTCAGCATAAATGAGTACACCCCAACAGATTTGTCAGAAAATCTTTACTTTCCTTTCAGAATCAACATTTTCTATGGGACACTATACTACAAAATACTCCCACAAATGCGGGCCATTGATTGCAACCACGATTTGTTAATTTGCACACAAAAAAAAGTATTTTTCCTAACAAATTCATTCAAGACCATGTTTCAAAAATAAATACACCCCAATGAAAGTCATAGGAGCAAAGCTAAATTTTACACAACAAAATCCTAATTAACAAGAATTCAGCCACAGGTTAGTATAATGATTCATATTAAACAGGTGTCCAGCAGACAGGAGATTATAAAAGGGCGTTACCTAACAAAGAAAACCCCTTACCATTTCATGCTGTCAGCAATGGCACTAGGGATGGGCTGCATGTTCGAGTCGCACATAGGTTCGACTCGAACATAGCCTGTTCTAGCGTTCGCCAAACGCCGAACATTACGGGATGTCCGCGGTATGGCACCACATGGAAGAGAAATGTCACAAGGCCTGAGATAGAAAATGATTTCTTTACACAAGAAAGGTGACGGCTACAAGATCAGCAAAGCTTTACTTATCAGTCAGAATTCTGTAGCAAAAGTGATCCAAAAATGTAACAAAGATGGAACTGCAATCTCACGGAGACGTCCAGGCCGTCCACAGGAGTTAACACCTCGACAGGAGCGTCTTCCGATGAGAAGGGTTGAAGAAAATCGCCATGCAAGTTCACTGCAGTCAAAGCAGTAGAAAGCCAAACTGGGGTGATTGTTTCCCGTGAAGCAATACAGCGTACACTGCAGAGGAATGGCATGCATGGAAGCCTCTTCTAAAGCCCATGCACAAAAAAGCCCGCCTACAATTTGCCAGGGTCCATGCTGAAAAAGAAGAAGACTACTGGGACTCTGTACTCTGGAGTGATGAGACCAAGATCAATGTTTTTGGAACTGATGGCTTCAAAACTGTATGGCTTCGCAAAGGTGAAGAGTACAAAGAAAAATGCATGGTGCCTACAGTGAAACATGGTGGTGGCAGTGTCCTTCTGTGGGGCTGCATGAGTGCTGCTGGTGTTGGGGAGCTGCATTTCATTGATGGTATCATGAATTCCCAGATGTACTGCTCTATATTGAAAGAGAAGGTGCTACCATCACTCCGTGCCCTAGGTCGTCGTGCACTTTTCCAACATGACAATGATCCATAACGCACATCTAAGGCCACTGTTGCATTTCTGAAAAATGACAGGGTGAAAGTGATTCAGTAGCCAAGTACCGTGTTTCCCCGAAAATAAGACAGTGTCTTATATTTTTTTCCCCACAAAAAAAGACACTAGGTCTTATTTTCGGGGCATGTCTTATGTGTACCTGGCTGCAGCTGTCCGCTCGTGCGTGTGGATGGACGTGCGTGCGGGAGGGAGCTGCGGCCGCTCTCAGCTATAATGCCGTCCAGGGAGCCAGACAGGTGGGTGTGCGGGGAGGCGTGCCTGGAGGGGGGAGGGAGCTGCGAATGGGTGCGGGTGGCCATAATTGTATGCTGACAGGATGGATCCTGTCTGCATCCAAACTGGGACACCCTGCACCCGTACGGACCTGCACTTGGGGTGAGCGTAGGGCGGCGTATGGCCGCGTAGTCACATAGAGAAGGACAGGGGCTGCATACTAATCACACGCAGCAACTGTCCTTTCCGGGAGCTGCCCGATACGGCTGTGCACGCAGCTGTACGTGCCGCCTTTCTCTCGTGTGAATGAGGCCTATCTCTATCTATGTGTCTCTATCTGCCCCTGGGAGTCATGCCTGTAACTGTCAGTCTTGCAATGCCCATTAAACTTGTAGTTCCCAGAGTGCTGGAGTTGCCTACCCCTGCACTAGGGCAATGTCTGGCAACATGCTGCAATGCACAGCAGTGCAAAAATAAAACCTGTTCAACGTCTGATTTTTTTTTTTGAGGTGACAAGGCTCCGTCCCTTCCTACCAATTGTGCTCCTGCGTTGTCACCCTTAGGCTTCCAAAGGAGAATGCAATGGAGGCCGTTTCAACTAACATTACACAGACACAGTCCGCTGTCATCACCATCATGAAACCTGCACTGAGAAATGCCATGCAGCTATTGCTGGAGTGCATGCAGACAGGAAGTGGTTGCAAAGAGGTTGTAGGAGATCATCGGCACTGAGATACAAAAAAAAGGTAAAAATAAGTATTTTATTAAAAACTTGCCAATTGATTAATATAAACATAGCAAGCTAAATGTCCTTCCCTTCTGGTTTATATCTACTTTATGGAGTATTTGTAATAAAAATACTCAAGCCAATGGGTATTCTAAGCCACACCAGGGGGTACCTGCCACCCACTAGCATTAAAGAGCACCTCCATTATGAATAAATATAGTCAGCTCATATTTGAATGTTGCTGTGCTCTGTGTATTTCTTCCACATCTGTGCAGTAATTCAGTGTGAAACGTTTTCTTTGTGCATGAGCTTCCTGTTATAAAGACCAGACAGAATTGCTCTCTCTCCTTCTGCAGGATGACTGGTCTGGTCTCTGCCCCCTTCTGTAATAAGGACCGCTTACTGCTGCTCAGTCTCCTTGTGCAGGGTGACTGGTCTTGTCTCAGCCCCCTCCTGTAGAGTCAGTCTCAGGAGCTCAGTGATTTCAAGCGTTGTACTGTGATAGGGTGCCACCTGTGCAATAAGTCCATCCGTGAAATCTACCTTGCTACTAAATATTCCACGGTCACCTGTTAGTGGTATTATAACAAAGTGGAAGCAACTGGGAACAACAGCAACTCAGCCACGAAGTGGTAGGCCACGTAAAATCATAGCTGCAGACCTCCAAACTTTGTTTGGTCTTTAGATTGGCACAACAACAGTGTGTAGAGAGCGTCATGGAATGGGTTTCCATGGCCGAGCAGCTGCATCCAAGCCTTACATCACCAAGTGCAATTAAAGCGCCGGATGCCGTGGTGTAAAGCACACCGCTACTGGACTCTAGAGAAGTGGAGACGTGTTCTCTGGAGTGACCAATCACGCTTCTCTGTCTGGCAATCCGATGGACGTGTCTGGGTTTGGCGGTTGCCAGGAGAACGGTACTTGCCTGACTGCATTGTCAGGGGAGGGTGGAATCCAGCCCCTCCCCTGTCATAGCAGAGAGCCGTGACAGGATCGAGAGGTGAGCAAACGCCGGTATGTGTTCGCTCACCTCCCGATCTACTGAGCCGACCTGTGACAGTCTCATTGTCATAGGTCGGCTAGAACTATGAGGTGAGTGAAAAGCACTCATAGTGCTCCTTTAAGGCATCAGCATACCAAGTCATTTTGGACAATTTCATGCTCCCAACTTTGCGGGAACAGTTTGGGAATGGCCCCTTCCTGTTCCAACATGACTGCGCACCAGTGCACACAGCAAGGTCCATAAAGACATGGATGAGCGAGTTTGGGGTGGAAGAACTTGACTGGCCTGCACATAGTCCTGACCTCAACCCGATAGAACACCTTTGGGATGAATTAGAGCGGAGACTGCGAGCCCGGCCTTCTCATCCAACATCAAAACCTGACCTCACAAATGGTCCAACATTCCCATAGACACACTGCTAAACCTTGTGGATACCTTGCCAGAAGAGTTGAAGCTGTTGTAGCGGCAAAGGTTGGGCCAACTCAATATTGAACCCTCCGCACTAAGACTGGGATGCCATTAAAGTTCATGTGCGTGGAAAGGCCGGTGTCCCAATACTTTTGGCAATATAGTGTATATATATATATAAAAGTTTTTGTTGAGCAGTAAGTAATGTGTGCCTGGTTGAAGTTCAGTCTGTGCGCTGTGTCCTCCTCTGCACACACAGCCCACACTGGGAAGAAGCTGTATGGCTCCCATGAGACCTGTGCTGGAATGGGACAGGCCTCCCAGCATCCTCCGCTCACACTGGATGGAAAGGAGGAGGGAAAGTTCCGGATTGGCTCATGCTGCGCTCCGGTGGGTTGGATCAGAGACCAGCGCAGTAGGGGGGTGTGGTCGGGGAGGGGCGTGGCTACCAGGGCTCACCATCTGCCCTGCTTACAAACATTTGAGTTGTGCGGAGCACGAGGTGGAAGCGTGATCTGGGACGATCAGAACTCCTGTGTCGGCAGGAGCCATCAACATGCCGTCCAATCTGCTGAGCCCCTTCCACGAGCTGGATGCCGATCTGCCCAAGGTAGAGCCCAGAGCGAAGTTTGGCTGCGAGTTTCTTTGCAGATCGGTTCTGAGTGCGTGTGCTTGCAGAGATGTCTCTGAATGCATGGCAGTGTGCAGGACTGGCTCCTATAGCTTGGATTGCATGGCAGTGTGCAGGACTGGCTCCTATAGCTGGGATTGCATGGCAGTGTGCAGGGCTGGCTCCCATAACTGGGGATGCGTGGCAGGGCTGGGAATGCATGACAATGTGCAAGACTGGCTCCTATAGCTGGGAATGCATGGCAGTGTGCAGGACTGGGAATGCATGGCAGTGTGCAGGACTGGCTCCTATAGCTGGGAATGCATGGCAGTGTGCAGGACTAGGGGTGCATGGCAATCTGCAGGGCTGGCTCCTATAGCTGGGAATGCATGGCATTTTGTGGGACTGGCTGCTATATCTTTTGAATGAACGACAATATAAATGTCTCATTATGACTGTGCATGCAAGATTTTCCAAAGGGGCTGTGCATGCATAGCTCTCTGCAAGATGGTCTCTAACTTTCTTGGAATCACGCTTCTCTGCAGGGCTGTCTCTTTACAACTATAGATACACAGCTCACTGCAGGGCTGTCTCTTCTAAACTTGGGCTCTTTGGGACAGTGAATGCATGCATCTGATTTTAGTTCCTCTATCGTATACATATAAAATCTTGGCTTGGGATGTGTTTGTCCAGAAAGTTCTTTTTGTATTTGCTTGAGGCTCCGCAGTCTGTGAAGTCATGAGATTTTGTATGAGTGTGGTCTTTGTAATGGTCTGCAGTGCCAACTCTGTATAGTACACAAAGCTTTGGGGTGTTTTAGAGGAACATTGCTTTCCAAGAAATGCTGTATATGATGGTGATTGTGGAGGCATGTGACCCACCTGTGTATGCATGCCCCATAGCTGCCGACCTATGGCTGTGGAGGCCAGTGACCCACCTGTGTATGCATGCCCCATAGCTGCCAACCTATGGCTGTGGAGGCATATGCCCCATAGCTGCCCACCTGTGTATGCATGCCCCATAGCTGCCAACCTATGGCTGTGGAGGCCAGTGACCCACCTGTGTATGCATGCCCCATAGCTGCTGACCTATGGCTGTTGAGGCATGTGACCCACCTGTGTATGCATGCCCCATAGCTGCTGACCTATGGCTGTGGAGGCATGTGACCCCCTGTGTATGCATGCCCCATAGCTGCTGACCTATGGCTGTGGAGGCATGTGACCCCCTGTGTATGCATGCCCCATAGCTGCTGACCTATGGCTGTGGAGGCATGTGACCCCCTGTGTATGCATGCCCCATAGCTGCTGACCTATGGCTGTGGAGGCATGTGACCCCCTGTGTATGCATGCCCCATAGCTGCTGACCTATGGCTGTGGAGGCATGTGACCCCCTGTGTATGCATGCCCCATAGCTGCTGACCTATGGCTGTGGAGGCATGTGACCCCCTGTGTATGCATGCCCCATAGCTGCTGACCTATGGCTGTGGAGGCATGTGACCCCCTGTGTATGCATGCCCCATAGCTGCTGACCTATGGCTGTGGAGGCATGTGACCCCCTGTGTATGCATGCCCCATAGCTGCTGACCTATGGCTGTGGAGGCATGTGACCCCCTGTGTATGCATGCCCCATAGCTGCTGACCTATGGCTGTGGAGGCATGTGACCCCCTGTGTATGCATGCCCCATAGCTGCTGACCTATGGCTGTGGAGGCATGTGACCCCCTGTGTATGCATGCCCCATAGCTGCTGACCTATGGCTGTGGAGGCATGTGACCCCCTGTGTATGCATGCCCCATAGCTGCTGACCTATGGCTGTGGAGGCATGTGACCCCCTGTGTATGCATGCCCCATAGCTGCTGACCTATGGCTGTGGAGGCATGTGACCCCCTGTGTATGCATGCCCCATAGCTGCTGACCTATGGCTGTGGAGGCATGTGACCCCCTGTGTATGCATGCCCCATAGCTGCTGACCTATGGCTGTGGAGGCATGTGACCCCCTGTGTATGCATGCCCCATAGCTGCTGACCTATGGCTGTGGAGGCATGTGACCCCCTGTGTATGCATGCCCCATAGCTGCTGACCTATGGCTGTGGAGGCATGTGACCCCCTGTGTATGCATGCCCCATAGCTGCTGACCTATGGCTGTGGAGGCATGTGACCCCCTGTGTATGCATGCCCCATAGCTGCTGTAATTGGTATCGGCGAGTGCCGGGAAAAAAGTATCGGTACCAAAATACCGGTATCGGTGCATCCCTAGTAGATGGCATTGCCAAGTTGGTTGAGGTTCCAGAGTGGTTATCCTTTTTAGCTATCCTACAGGAAGCCACTGATCTACAGCAAGCTCCAATCTGCAGCCAATCTGAAAAGTATGAACATTTTTCAGACCAGAGTAGTAATGAAGCCGATTATATTGTAGGTATAATGGTCAGCAATTTCACCCCCTGAAGGGGTCTTGATGACTGGTTGACCATTGGACAGGGCTGTGTTCACTTGGCCTAGGGTTAGTTGAACTTCTTGAACAGTGGACCAAAGTCAGTGGAATTAATCAAGGGGCCACAACATGTCTTCTGAGGGCCACAACTACTTATCTTAGAAAAAGATTACAGCATTTTAGCCTGTGGTGACACCTTGGTTTGATCAGCCGCTCAGTAGAACCTTTCTATTGCTCCTCCGATGCTCCCTTTAGCCACCTTGAGCAAACTAAAATTCCCAACGCTTCTGTCTTTGCCCTCTTCCATATCACGGTGCTGATGCCTTGTCTTTGTCCCAGCGTTGTCACATGGGGTGAGGAAGGAATCCATAGCCAGGTCCTGACAAGTTTGAAGCTTAGCCAGGGCTTTCTTTGTTTACTCCTGGTGACCAAACCCAGGAAAGGGGAGTATGTGCTTATGGGGAAGGGGTGGAGGGGTTTAAGTGGTCCTATTTTCTTTGCATTGGCAAGGTAAAGGGTCACTTTACAGGGGCTATGGAATTTTGAAAGTGGCTGTACTTTAAATAGATGGTAAACGCAAGAGTTAAATCTCAAATACATTCAATCACCTTAACTATTAACAAAAATGTATCTTGTATGGGTATCACTCGGCTGTAGATCACTGAATTGGAGCTAACACTGTCCTTCCTTTCTGGAGGGTGGCCACTTTTGTTCCCCGTGTGTGTTGTAAAGTAGCCACCGCTCCACTCTCGCTCCCGTGACAGACTACAATCTCATGATTAGTTTACTAAATAGTATTGAGCTTGTATTGCAAGCCAGTGAGGCTTGCAAAGGAGCAAGAGGGGCTGTATGTGGTCCAAAACACACAAGTTTGACTTTTCATATGGGCTTAGTGGTCCCTATAGACCAGGTAAAATTAACTCATGGAACATCTGTACAAACCTGGACATTTGCCTTTGATGGAACATTTTGTGCTAACTTCAAAAGACTGATAGACTTTCTGTAGTTGGTGGGCAGTTTCACCTCCCTTTACCGGTCACTTGGCCATACATAGCAAAGCGATCCTCCAACTGGCTACATAACCTCCTTGCTAGATTGCCTTTAGTGTTCCTGGCAGCCTTCCAGACCTGTTCACTAATATTGCCTTTTCTAACCAGTTAGGTATAGGTTAACATTCTACAGCTTATCCCCTCTGACCTTACTGCATTGTATTGTGATAAGGTTGTCCGCAAGGCTAGCAGGAGTGCCCACAACAGATCCCCTTTGGAGTGGGTGTTTTTACATGTATTAATAGGGCACATGTGACATGTCAGCATTCCCAAATCATACTTTATATTTCTTGCCTGCTATGCTAATTAAAAAGTGCTTTCCAATATTGTAGACTGTAGAGCCTGTTTTCACTCAGACCATCTTTGGTTGGTCTGCAAAAGGCATAGCCTACATAAGTAAGTAAATATGGCTTCTCCCATGTATTTTATATAGTTACAAACCATACATGAAACCAATGAAATGAGATTACAATTTAGAAATCAGGTTGGCAGTGAGAGGCATGTACTACATGCTAATCAAGGCCTTCTGAACTTTACAGGGCTGTTAATCTAACATGTTTTAGGGTGCTGTAAGCTTCAAGTGACACTTTCAGGCAACCCTTTTAAAAGCACTGCCTAACAAAACTCGCACAGGATGCCTATTGTTATCGGTCAGACAACCTTCTTCTGTGTCCCTCTCTGATTTAGCCTGTCACTGGTGTCAGCTGTCTGGCCCAAGCCATGTCCAAGTGCCCTTTTCCTATCCAAAGAGTACTTCTGTGGCCATTATTCACTCTAGGTGAATAGAATGGAAACTGGTGAGGTTTTGTGCAGAAGTAAGCCAGGACTCTAAGCTTTTCTGGTTAATAAAGTTCATAGTAAACATCTTGTACGCTCTATTCTTGAGAGTTCGAAATGGGTAACAGGATCACTTTAAGAGGGGAACTGCTTAGGGAGAAGCAGAGAACTGGAAGCCCAGCAGTGTGATGTTCTTTTATAGTCCAGTGGGCAAGTAGGTGACGCAGAAGACGGCAAAACCACATCGATGAATAGTGGTATCAACATCATGGGTGGCACAAATATTTTGCCAAGTAAAATGGAAATGTATTTTACCTTTTTGTAGCCATTCGGACTTCCACTTCATATATCTGGTAATGAGAAATTCAAAGATGGTAACATGAATGGGGAAAAATGACACATGAAACGGTTTATAAAGATAATCCTGCTTTTTATGTTTTAAGTGGCCCTTAACAGTTCTTTTTCTTATCCCACAGGATTTTGTGTCCCTGTTTTCTGGGGTCAGCCTGAAAAGTGCTGTGGAGGAACAGCCCAGCACACACTCCTCCTGTCCAGTCAACCTCAATGACGATGCAAAAAGTAAGGAAATCTCAACTGACTCCACTGCTTGGCCACTGCAAAGTCCATGGTGTCGGGAGGCTGAGTTGCCTTCTTTACATCCTCTGCGTCTCATCCCATTCCAAGCGGATCGCTCTGTGAGCATGATCGAGGAGAGCAGGAAGACCTCAGCAGCAGCTAGGCTGCCTTCATCTCGCTACAAGACGGAGCTCTGTCGCACTTTCCACGAGAGTGGCTCCTGCAAGTATGGCTCCAAGTGCCAGTTTGCACATGGAACAGCAGAGCTTAGAGGGCTGAACCGTCACCCCAAGTACAAGACAGAGTTGTGCAGGACTTATCACACAATTGGCTTCTGTCCGTATGGTTCCCGGTGTCACTTTATCCATAACGCTGAGGAGCAGAGGTTCAACAGTGGCAGCAGAGGACACAGACCACCTCTTTTAAGACACAGCATCAGCTGTTCAGGCATCCCTTCATCATCTTCCTCCTCCTCGCTCTCCCTTTTTTCCTCTTCCATAGCCTCTTCCCTCTCCTCCCTGTCTCCCTTTTCTCCATCCAGCCCGGTGACATTACCATCCAATCCTTTTGCCAGTGTTGGTCCTTCATCTCCAACATCTCCTCCTCCTGTCACACTGAACCTGCCATTATTTAGGTCAGTGTCCCCTCCACGACCAAATGTGCAGAACACTTTGGCAGGTGGATTGCAGCTACAGCTCTCTCCCTGGAAGAGAGGTGACCCTAAGGGAGAGGAGAGATGGGATTCCTTGTCTCATCCAGAGAGTGAAGAATCTGCGTCAGCTTTTGCTAACTCGCAGGAAGCAAAACGCCTCCCCATCTTCAGCTTTCTTTCAGACTAAGACTTTTTCAACCACTCAGGCCAACCAACAAGGCGTGTAGTCAGTTGCTTGAAACTGACTGCACACAGTTGTTAATTCTTCTTCAATCCTGATGCAACAAAGACTGATTTTTTGTGTATTGAAAATATAATGTGTAGATGTGATGGGTAAAACCAAGGTCCTTGATAATTTAAATGCAAAGTCTTTAGTCTGATCCTAGCTTCTGATAATTGGGGGGAGAGATTTATCTAAATCAGGATTTGGGTAATTCTAGTGTTACTTCTTCCTCTAAGACCTACAGTCCTTTCTTCTTATTGGCCCAATCAACTGTCAAACAGATGGAGGGGCTGATTGGGTGTAGTACAATTCTTCTTTTCCGTGCTATACATTGACTGTAGTAAAAGGAGGAAGTCATGCAGCCTCTTTGTAATCTGAGGTGTTCATACTTTGGCTTTTAGCAGCATGTAGTTGGACCTGTCAGGATTGTGCATACCCAGCTTGTATACTCTGTTGGATATGTTGGCTCCTTTTTTGGTTGGCCTCTTTTTGTATGTAGTTGCCCTATCAGTGCCTATAAGGTTTACTTTTAATCTGCTGCTTAAGTTTTTGTTTTTTATTGATTGGTTCTGTCCAATGGTCATGGAACCTGCAGTCTATGACCTGTTCTTATGCTATCTCTAGGCCTTAACTGCTGCCCAGCAGTGCATTTATTTCATGCTGACTTATAAACTGGTGCTGTGAGATTTCATTGGTTTTTCTAGCACAAATGGTCAGGACTGGACAATTCTTAGGCACACTGCCTACCCTAAAACCATACAGCTCTGTTTTTTTTTTTTTTAAGGTTTTTCTATTGTTGGTAGATGCTATTTTTATCTCTGTATTTGCATGGGAGTACCCAGGTCCATTCACTTGCCAAATCCATTGAGGTTTTGCACTACCTTGTGTCTTCTGGAAGATGTAAACCAGATTAAAAAGGAACTAAGACTTCACCTGCTGCATGGGGAGTGCAGAGGGGATATTGGAACTCTTGAGACCCTAATCTTGAGATTCCCAATTTATACTAGAAGCATTACCATAACTGAAATATCTTTTCTTGGGCTGACCCTTTAAGGCTTCCTGCATATGGGTGCTCGCAGTACCCTATGCCCATATGTTACAGGCAAGTAGTGTCGTCTCTCCTCCTTTTTGCCTCCCACTTTTTGGGAAAGGGTCATATGCATAAACCGTAGTCTAAAATTACCAGCAGACTCCTGGGGTTCTGTATCCATTCATGCCAGGGATAAAAAATTGGCTAACCCTGAAGGATTGTTGCGTACAAACACCATGTTTTTTTCTGGCTCCAGTTTATAAGTTGCCCTTTCTATATTTATGATGGTTGCCTTGACTTAACCCACGACTTCACTTGGACAGTGTTTTTCTATGAGTGAGTGCTTTGGGTTAGTGTACTTGACACATTTTATTGGGCAAGTCCATTTTGTCTGAAGGGGTGTAACAGATGGAATGTTGTGCTCTCTATGAGAGCACTTGGTATTGCTATACGCTGGGCAGCTAGAAGTAACTATTGAGTAAGGATGTATCCCCTGGTGGTGTACCTGTTATCAGCCCAGGTAGATCTACTCTCTTAGTGTTAAAAGCTGAAATTCAGTAGTTGTGCCGTTAACCAAAACTTTTTTAATCCCGTTTTTTTTTGTTTTGTTATTGCATAGTGTGTTATGGGGGGGCTGTGGGTATTTTTTTTTTTTTCCTCCTCTATCCTATCTTTTTTGTGTTTAATGGGTCATAACTGGGCTTTAGTAAAATGTCTGAAGGATGAGCAGGTTTAGTTGCCCAAACCAACCAGATAATGATTAGTTTGTCTGACAGAATTAAAGTAATTAGGATGCAGAACCAGAAATCTCAGTTTTTTGCACCCCTCACTAATAATACAATGGCGCATTACCCACGCGGGTTTGGTTGTACACAGATCCTGCACGCTAACATGGCCCTGTCCCCAAAATGCTGATATCTTGAAGGAAGCCTAAGGCTATTATACGGTTTAGATTATGGGGGGTGGGGTGGAGATGAAGAGGGAAAATAACCTATTACTGGGTCTGGTACATGGCAATATAAGTTTTTTTGCTTTTTGTTTATTTTTGGGGGGGAAAAACAAACCAACATTTGGTTTTGAAGATACAAGGGTATCATCAAAACAATGGCTTATATTATGTCTAATAACTAAAATATTATTACTAATGTATATGTGCCTTAAGGGCGACTAGGACAGTGCTTCCTTCAGACATTTTAATGCATTAAGCCCATCTAGTGTGTCCCAAGTGTATCTGTGCATATGCAGAATATAGGTAGGCACTTTGTAGCCGGTTTACCTGTAATAAGGGGCATTGCGTTGTTTCCAATACAGCTGCCTTATCTCTACAAGTGACAGAAAAATGTGTGCAAAGGTGCCTTTCAACTCCTCTGCTGTGTCCTATTTCAGGGCAGTGATGACATCTCAGTTAAACAGATTTTGTTTCCATTTCACTGCCCCGGAAGTAGATGACCAATGTCTAAGGGCAGCTTTAATAAACAGTGTGACTTCTAGGGGTAGAGCGTCCTGTTCCGGATTACGGAGGAGGCCTTGTTGCATGGTTGCTATACTGCAGGGCTGGACAAATCTCAGGAGCCAGGTAGCCCATGCTCCTTAAAGATGACAGCTGGTGCCCACCCTTTTGAGGTTTTCTCTAGTTGTCAATGGAGCTGGCTCCTAAAAAAAAAAAAAAAAAAAAAAAAAAAAAAAAAAAAAAAAAAAATCCTGCTGGCTCCTGGATTAGACTGGTTCCTGAATTCCATGAATTGTCCACCCCTGTTATACTGCAACATTGGATTCCCAACAAGCCTCCTTGAGCTTTCATTTAGTGTCTAGCTTTAGAGTTGGATGTGTGCATGCCACAAAGCTTCAAGCCTTGCAGGCTTATTTAGTAAGACCGCTCCTGGCAACCAGCTAGAATACAGCAAACTGAAATCTGGTTGCCATGTGTTACTGCTCTGTATTGAGAAAGCCCTTCAAAAGTGCGGTAATGGCCAGATGCTGTTGATGTTGCGTAATGACTATAGTCCAGCACACACTGTGATTGGGAACAAGTTGCTAAGCAGAACAAGTCTCTGATGGGAGCTACCAACTTTCTTACCTCATTCTAGTTCCGAAGCAGCTAGTTCAGTTATGGTTATTCCTAATAGAAGTTACTGCATTAAAATTGGTGTAATCCCAGTGTTTGCTTCCTTTTAAAATCTTCAGAGACTGTTTTGGAACCCATTCCCTTTAAGGCTTCCGCTTAAAATATAAAAGGTAGGGCCCAGGCTTGACCATGTCTGAAGGAGGAAATTGATTGTTGTGGGCTACCTTTTCCTTCAGGCATTGAGTGTTCGGGGGACAGCTTATTAATTTGCGAATAACGTTTGCCTTGCGTCTTGCCTGGTGGTGACTGTCTTGGAGAAGTTACTGTATCTAGGTACAAGACCAAGATGGCCATTTTTATAGTTGCAGACCTTGGCATCACTCCTAGCCATGTTTATTGGCTGCATTGAGTGATCGTTTAAAATGGAGAATCCAATGCTGTTTTTCTGTGGCCTTTAGGTCCACAGTTGTTGATCAAAAGAAACAAAGTATTAGTGTTCATTTGTTTTTTTTCTTTAAGAGTTAGTAAATTATAATTAAGCTTTAACATTTTTCTTATTTATACTTCTAGTGGTGGTAGAAGGTGTTGTAGTGTCAGATCTAATTTATTTTTATCTTCAGTTTGTAGGCATCAGTCTGTCAGTTTATATGTAAGCTCAGATATACGGATATTAACTATACCAGTAGCTCATAGAAGAAAATAAAGTTGTCTTGACATTAAGTGGTTGATTGTGATTTTAAAGCAAACCTCTGAGAGCAATACTTTACTAAACCGCTTTAGGAGGTAGCCGCCGGCAGAAGCTGCTTAGAGGGTCACCCTTGTTGGAACATGTCCATCATCTGAGACCCCCCTGAGATGTCTCCACTTCCTCGTAGTGGAGATGGGTCACGCCCCACCCCTTGCACAATACTATGTTCAGTGCCTGTCACATGGTGAGTCTGTGTAGGCAGATCTGTGAATGAGAATGTGTCCATGACTTGGAACTCCCTGAGATGTCTCCACTTTGTGGTGATGTGTCGAACCCCCATCCCACAATGGTATGCTCAGTCTCTCACATGAGTCTGTGTAGGCAAACCGTGAATGGCAATTTGTCCATCACTTGGAACTCCATGAGATGTCTCCAAGTCCCATCCCATCCCACAATGCTATGCTCCCTGTCTGTCTCATGGCGAGTCTGCCTAGGCAAACCCAGACTGAAAAAATTGCTGTTTGTTTAGCCACTTCAGGATTTTTTAAAGCTTGAACAGACCAAATCTGAAGTAGGATGTTCATGCTTACAGCTATGGTATTGGCTATCTTCTACAGCTGTTGGTTTAAGAATTGAATTGATCCCTCAGGTTTACTTTTATGCTGGCGCCATACACAAGACGATTCCAGCAACTCCCTTTCAGTTGCAAATCTATTAAATAGGTTAATGATACCTTCCACCATAGGTGACTCGGATATAAATTTAAATATTTAAACTATTGGTGGTAGGTTGCTATAGTCTGTTTGTTTCTCTAAAGCTTGTTGAGAGGGCTAGAAGAACGCCATGTGTATGACCAGCATATGGGCTTGTCAACACGATGGCTCATGGAGAAGCATGTGTACCCTGGCTCCTTTTAAAGGAAACTACCACTAAAAGAAATGCAGAGGCTGACTTGTCTTGGTGTATATCTAGTTGCTTGGCTGTCATGGTAATCCAGCCCCCTCAACACATTGCGACAGACATGGGTTAAGCATACAGCAAGCAAGGCTGGTGAAGCCAGAACTCCAAATCTGCATACCTGTTCCAGGACAGTGAGTTGGGATGTACTGAAACCATAAGGGCAAAATGACAGCCAGGTGCCTAGTGTTTTCAGATGGTGAACTGTGGCAGCCTCTGTAGTTCAGCTGGCCAGCTTTCACCCATAATGTAGAT